AATCGGGTCTGCTTCAAGGGATGTGTGCATGAGACGAAAATCCTTGCTTGTGTGGTGTGTGTGTGTGTTGTGTGTGTGTGTGTGTGTGTGTGTGTGTGTGTGTGTGTGTGTGTGTGTGTGCGGGGGTTCGCGCGTGCGTGTGTGCGTGTGTGCGTGCGTATATATATATATATATTATATATAACGTGTCCGCCTTTGCTCACAGTCCGTCAACCAGCCGACGATACCCAGGAGCCGATTACGGGCATCACCAGCGCACACCCAAACAAACCCATCCTCTCCGTTCTGGAGCGCGAGAGTGGCGAGGAGATCCCTCGCTAGCAAGCTAACGCATAGAGAGTGAACGGACTCTACGAGCGGCCGCTGCGAGCGTCGTCTATGTATTCTCGAGGACGACGATGACGATGGCCGACGACGGAGGAGTCGATGTGGGCATGATGAAACCGAAGGAACATGTAATAATTACTTATTACGTTGTCGTGTATATTTGTCAGTAGTGTGGAGAGCATGCATCATCGTAATAGCTAGAGTACGTATAGACTCTAGCGTTTATGTGCTTTTGACATTATAATCGGAAGTAACACCGCGTAGTAAACCGGATGCCCGTGGCGTCGTAGTATTTACTAAGCTTTTTTGTGCGTCCTCCAATTACGCGCGCAATTATATATGCTGCTCAGAATAATTTATGTCCACAATGAAATCCTCTTAACCATAGCAGTGTAGACGGTAATCGGATCGACTGCCCATAAACGAAACGAGTCGAGTTTAAGTAATGAAATGCCCGTGAGCGTTTGAACCTCCCCTTCCATGCATGCACGCACGCGATGAGTACAGTATAATGGAAAGCCAATGCAAGGAGTGGCAAAAACATTGCTATGGCACAGCGACTATCATTACATTCACCAGCAGGCACGTACTTAAAGCATTTATTCTCGGCGCATCGAATAGATTTATTCCACATAAAATTAATGACGGCTATAATTATTTTCATTGAACAGCGAGACTATCTTCCGTAGAGAGCCGGAGGTGGATTAAAGATTAGTATGCAATGAGAAAAACTTTCATTCACGATTGGTAATTGTGGAAAACCTTCGAATTGTTGAATAGAAGTTAAGCCAGAGAACGCTTCGGTGACATTAGCTAGAACCACGAGGTTTAACCGTGTGACGCGGAGCAGACAAACCAAAGGCTTACGCTTTGCACGTGAAACGAACATTCGGTTACAGTCTCTTTGATGTTTATGAATTTTAATATTGTTTGTACACAATAATATAAGTGTGAGATGAATATGTGTCATGATCATGCTATGCACGCGCATATCATACTACCAGGGGTGAATTATGACATTAAAAATGTGGTCATTATTCACTCCTGATATTATGCATGATATACTAATGCACACGCAAAACAAATGTGATCGCACGAGATAATAGAAGTGTCAGCTTCTTTGACGTAAAGCGCGCATGATACTCGTTGTGTCCGCTTCACTGACCAAACAGATTTTTGTTAAAACAATAACCTTGGCAATTCGGGAGGCTAGCGCCAGCTTTTGCTTGCATATAAGCCGAAGGGTTGCGACAGACGAGACAGCTTGCTCGCATGTATTCCATAGACAGGTTCACTCTGCTCCTGTAGGAACCTTCTAGTGTATTTAGTACACGAAGAGTGGTAGTGGTAGGCTTCCGTACCACTGGGGTTTCGCTGATAGACTTGACCGGCCTCGCTGACCTGTAGCGGCGCGGTTCGCCAGTTGCATAATTTTTTTTCCCACTTGAGTTCCGGACCCACCATAGATAGTGTTTTGTAATATATGGTTCGTATATATATGGTTGGATTATAGTTAGTGTTAGCGTTCGGTTACGGGTTAGGGTTAGTGTTAGGGATAGGGTATTCATTTTACATTGTTGCTTCGAGGAAGTCGAGTGAATGGAGTGCGCTGATTGGCTGTGGTCCGGAACTCAAGTGGGAAAAAAAATTCCGCTGCCCGGTTATAGTGTGAAATACTTGTAAATGACTCTCGAAATTGGGAGGCAGCTTAAAAGTGAATAGTTCAGTTCTTTTAGTATGGGATTGTATGTGTGTATGTATCTTTATCGACCCAACAGAGACTTTACTTCTGTCAAGTTTGAATTCTATGCTGTGAACCATTGTTAGTTCGGCAGAAAAACTCTAGAACTTGATTTTCTACAAGAACTGCTGTGGGGTCTCTACCTTCGCACCATGTGATTTCTTTATTTGCCGTGAATGTCTCTTCTTTTGCGAGTCATGCAATGGCGAATGCTGTTGCTCTGGAGTCAATAAACTTTGCAATCCCGACGGAAATCGTCACCGCACTGCAATGTTCATGTATTCGAACGTTTGGAATCACCGCGGCTCTCCCGCAATCCAGCGATCGTTCCATTACGACTTTACCTGGCGGGACCCAGGCCACGCCCGTCTCCGGAAGTAGTTTCTCCCCGGACACACCGTATAATCAATCACGGACAGCCGACTGATTAACCACAATATCGCGGCGACAACGACCACGAGGTGGCGGTGGGGGGCGCTACAGTCGCGACATCAAACAAAAGGTGTGTTTCTCACTACTCGACAATCGCTGCAAATTTTCGGCATCCTTGTATTACGTTATTATAATTCTTTTTCCGAAAAAGATTTCAAGCCCCTCGATCTCGTACAACGATCTTGTCGTGTCCTTTGTAGTTCTCCTGGAGTTATCTTGGATCCTGGAGTTATCTGTTAGATTGGTTATCTCACAAACTGCTAGGTAGATAACAACCTGTCTACATAGCCAAGCAATTAAGCAATAAAAGAGTTTCACAAGAAAACGTCTTCATCTATTTGCCCACCTACAACTTTCATTTTAATCTAACCGAAAAACGCACAAATTTTTTCTTGACCCAACTAAACCCATTTCATCCCTGGAAGTTATGTATAACGGATGCATGCTCACCTTGTTCACGTACATACGGCCACGGAAGCTCATGCCTTTTCCGCACGTCTCACTGCATTCAGACCAAGCTGTCCACTCTGTTGTCGCGCAAGCGTCTGCTCGCAGCTCGTACCCTGGTGTTAGAAGGACAGAGGGACAGTGTCATACGCACATCTGGAGATTACAGGGTTCTTCATGCGAAAGGAAAACAGCAACATCACCAACGTCAATTTGTTCTCAGCAAACGAATCCAAGTAAATGTACTGTCTTGACTGGCTTCGTCCATAAAAGTCTAGAATTAATTGCCCGTCACTTCAATCAATAACACGGATGCTAGTTGTTAACGCAAAAAATATCTGCTACATCACAAAACCGCCATAGATGCACCCGCTCAAACCAGCTTTACGCGCTGAAAGCTGCCGAGAAAGGTAAGTCCTTTAAGTCGAGTAAATCGTGCTTGCCTCATTACACTCTGTCTTTCAGCAGATTAACCTCGCATCCCATCATACCGCACCAACGTCGTCCTCGTACTGCCTGGCTCGAAGCCTGCATTGCCTGACCAGCAGGGTGGCGCTGCATGGGGTCCAAGTCCGACCAGTGGGTCACAGCGCATTTCGGACTCGGCATACTGTGTGCGGATATAATAATAATTCATTCTCTGTTTACGGACTCTATTTGTTATTATCTGTTCTGTAAACGGGTAATATCGAATACGATATACAGGATGTGGTCGGATATAGTATGAGTAGGCCTATGAGCTCTCGATCACCGTGTGTCTGGCAGTGAACCAACTGAATGCGTCGTTTTAAGTTTTTAGCCGAACACTATAGTCAATTAGTCACGCACGATTTTCTTCTCACAGTTCATTACGGTTTCCATTCATCAATGTGTCTGTTTATAAGATGCACACCACCGGGTACATCAATGTTCGACATATCGTATTTTACGTAGAACAGTGATATAACTGCAACAGAACAATCGGATGCCGAATAACGGCACATAAAAAGCTAAAGTCAAGCAAAAAGCAAGCCAAACTTATAGTCGGCCATACTACAGGCCAGGCCACATTAAATGTAGCTCTCACAGATGAAAGGTTTGGTATGTGAAAGATGGTCAGGTTAACCTTGTACACACCCACCGATAACAACTAATTTTGCGTATGTACCCATACAAAAACCTGCAATCGTAGATAGCAAGAAGTCACACCCGAAAGTATCTACGGCAGACCAAGCATGAGCTTTAAACTTTGGTTCAGAAGGCAGTTACACATGTAAGAATATTGTAGCATAACAGTTATACTTGTACATGTATTTGAACAGTAAGGCACACGTGTACACACTTTTCACAGTTGAGGCCGTCATACACGCCGTTTTCCTCCATGAGTTCCTTATTGGCAGACGCGGGCCATGTCAGGCTTGTAGTATGCGCGCTGCTAGTTGGCCATTCCCTTCCACAAGTGACGCTACAGTAGGACCAGTCGGACCAAAGGAGTTCCGGCCGCATTTGTCGGAGACAGGCGGCACTGTACGTGAAGCGAGAAATTCACAATATCACATAGAATATCACGATTAATACAAAACGCATCCTAGTAAATATTAACAAGCAAGCATATATTACTACTAATATTAAGAAATTGTTGTGTGTGTGTGTGCTGGTGTGTGTGCGTGCGTTGGTGTGTGCGTGTGTGCGTGCGTGCGTGCGTGCGTGCGTGCGTGCATGCATGGAGGGGGGCTTCAAACGCTCAGGCATTTCATTACTTAATACTGACTCGTTTTCGTTTATGCAGACGATCCGATTACGGTCTACACTGCTATGGTTAAGAGGATTTCATTGTGGACATAAATTATTCTGAGCAGCATATATAATTGCGCGCGTAATTGGAGGACGCACAAAAAAGCTTAGTAAATTACTTACGACGCCACGGGCATCCGGTTACTACGCGGTGTTACTTCCGATTATAATGTCAAGAGCACATAAACGCTAGAGTCTATACGTACTCTAGCTATTACGATGATGCATGCTCTCCACACTACTGACAAATATACACGACGACGTATAAGTGAATTATTACATGTTCCCTTCGGTTTCATCATGCCCACATCGACTCCTCCGTCGTCGCCATCGTCATCGTCGTCCTCGAATACATAGACGACGTCGCACGGCCGCTCGTAGAGTCGCTTCCTCTCTATGGTTAGCTTTGCTAGCGGAGGGATCTCCTCGCCACTCTCGCTCCAGAACGGAGAGGATGGGTTGTTTGGGTGTGCGCTGGTGATGCCGTAGATCGGCTCCTGGGGTATCGTCGGCTGGTTGACGGACTGTGAGCAAAGGCGGACACGTTATATATAATATATATATATATTATACGCACGCACACACGCACACACGCACGCGCGAAACCCCCGCACACACACACACACACACAACACACACCACACACACACCACAACACACACAACACACACACACACCACACAAGCGCAAGGATTCGTCTCATGCACACATCGCCTTGAACAGACCCGATTTCCAAACGTATAGAATTGATGTAGTAAAGTACGTACGGTACATTTGTCTGGCAATGTCACTGTATGTAAAACGAAAAAATATGACAAGCTAACAGAAGAAAGTACGATCGAATATGTGAAGTCGGTTGATGTCACGAATAGATTTCGGGAGAGGCGGGCGGACCAGTTGACACTTTCAACGCAAAACGTTTATCGCATTGCATCGCCGCATTACACTACACCAGAATTTGTCTAATGAATAATAACTTGTTATGAAATAATGATATATGAATACGATATATGAATAATGAATAATAGACTTGTTAAATATCATGTCCTCGCACGAATCCCTCGCGACTCGAACTGTGCTAATCATACCGCAATCTAAATTCCCTAGCCCCCTTTCCTCGAAGAGAAAGAGAGTTTGCGATCTATGTACGCCTCACCATGTAGGAGGTGCCGCTGTCCCGTCCCCATGTCGATGGGGGCGTAGATTCACTACTTTGTTCTCCACCCACGAAACAGTTGGGCAGGCAGAGGTCAAAGCGCACTGACCCCGACCGTCCAGTCGGGGCTCGGCGAGCATGCTAAGGCATGGACAGGAGATGGTGGCGGCGGTCCCGTGCGGGCCGTGGCGTAGCTCTTGCCGACGAACGTTGGTACCAGAGACCGCGCGCCTTCACGATCGTTCGAATGTTGTTGGACTGTAGAAGGAAACGGGGTGGGTGCTGTGATGGTCAGCACAGTTAAAACGTAGGATTTGACATTTTGTGACCTCAGCTCGGCCTGCTCTCATTGCAGTAGGCGCGCAGCCACGTGCATACACACAGCACGCACACATACGCGCACAGCGAACGTACACCGCGCGCGCGTACACACACACACACACGAACCAACACACACACAAACACACACACACACGCACACACACACACACCACACACAACACACACACCACACACAGCACACACACACAAGGCGGCACATATGCGCGTACACACGAAGGCACGTGCTACCATATACCCAAATGCGCGCGCATACAAACGCGCGCGTGCGCGCGGTTTAGTTCCGACGTCACAAAACTCCAGTATTTCGCTTTTTGTAATAATTTCAACGCGACGGCTTTAAGACGTCTCGTAAATTTCGAAGGCAAGCCGAGCAAAAGACAATGCACGCCGAGGAGGGAAAGCCTCCGCTTTCCGGCGCAAGCAGCTCGAGCTCCTTCGCTCGCACAATCCACGCTCTCTCTCTCTCTATCTCTCTCTCTCGCAGTGACCGCGCACGCAGGCGCATTTCTCGCCGGGCAGCATTAATCTCCCCGCGGCTATTACGACAGGTTTTTTCGTCTACTCTGCGAGACGCACGTGTTTTTTGCTCTCGCCGCCGGTGATCGAATCGCCCGTGCGAAATAGATTGCGGCGGTTACAGCCGACGTATAAAATATGAATCGGCCGAGCAGGAGAAGCTGTACAGACGTCGCTGTAAGACGTCGGCCTTCGTGTAGAAGGGGGAAGCCTTTGCAGGAGGAGGAAGCCTTCGCAGGAGGATGAAGCCTTCGGAGGGAAAAGCTTTCACAGGGAGAAGCCTTTGCAGGAGAAAGCTTTCACAGGGAGAAGCTTTTACAGGAGGAAGCCTTCGTAGGAGGAGGAAGCCTTTGTAGGAGAAAGCCTTCGCAGAAGGAAGAAGACTTTGCAGGAGGAGAAGGAGGCTGCTCAGCAACGCTGTCCCATAGTGTCAGATGTCACCTTACCGCCGTACGACGAGTCACGTCGCCCGCGTCACGTCTCGCTGCGTCGCGATGTCAAGTGCGTCACGATGCGGTTACGTGTCCTACGCCGTAAGCGTCATGTATTGTGCGGCGCGTCGTGCGTTGCGTTGCATTGCGGCCTGCGTCATATTACGGCGTGCGCCACGTTTCGACGTGCGTCACATCACGGCTTGCGTCGTGTTGCATCGAGTGCACCGATCATGCCAGGCGTCACACATCGGAGTGCGTCACGTTGCGCCAGTGCGTCACGTTACGCCAGTGCGTCACGTCGTGTTATGCGTAACCTTGCATCATGCGTCGCATGGCGTCGTGCGTGATGTTGCGCCGGTGCGTCACGTCGTGTCATGCGTAACCTTGTATCATGCGTCACATTGCATCGTGAGTGATGTTGCGTCGTGTAGCCAGCCTTCGCTGGCTGGTCGTTTGAAAGCATGATAATATATTACATAGGACGGTCTAGCTCATCCTATTTTATGACCGACGCTTGAGAATTGAATAAACACACGCAAATTAACTTGGAGAAACACACGAGAAAATCTGACCGCATAATATTCTTTAGTAGAACTTCGTATTTCATCGAAATTACGTTGCCTTTCATCCGTATGAATGCTTTTTTGCTCAGATTGCGCCACATCCGAGAGACCAATGCATTCATGAATAACGTCATCCAATGAGACACTCGTTATGGAGCAGCGTCTCATTGCGCTTTACATGATAAACAAGTTAGCCCCTGAGGGTTTAGTCACCGTACAAACTCCCGATAGCGACAGATGCGTCTGAAATAATCTGTGATTAAAAGACGCGTACTATAAGGTACCCTGCATCCTCTGTCATTTAAAGAGGTGTACTCTACTGCACAATACAGCATAATTTACTCATTTACCAACGGTTCGTGGGCAATATACCGTCGTATGGCAGGCAGTAGAATAAGATAAAATACGACACCGTATTATTTGTGTTATATATAGACGCAAACACGGTATGCGGAACCGTACAGCCTTTTGTGCATCTACTGCACACGGAGATAACAGGAGATAATGTTAAGCTCTTTGAGTGTTAATGCTTGCATATTACATGAATTGCGCGCCGCGATGTGACGTTTAATTGAAAACGAGGCGATGTTAAATAGTCGAATGTTTAAAATGTTCGTGCAGAAAGATTCTCCGATACGGCATTAAAAGACTTCAACTAGGCGGCACATATGCGCGTCACACACACACACACACACACACACACACACACACACACACACACACACACACACACACACAAGCAAGGATTTCGTCTCATGCACACGTTCCTTGAACAGCCCCGATTCCAAACGTATAGAATTAATGTAGTAAGTACGTACGGTACATTTGTCTGGGGGCAATGTCACTGTATGTAAAACGAAAAAATATGACAAAGCTAACAGAAGAAAGTACGATCGAATAATTATGTGAAGGTCGGTTGATGTACGAATAGATTTCGGGAGGAACCGTGCGGACCAGTTGACACTTTCAACGCAAAACGTCATCGCGTAGCATGCATCGCGCTTTACACTACACCAGAATTCGTCTAATGAATAATAACTTGTTATGAATAATGATATATGATATACGATATATGAATAATGAATATAAGACTTGTTAAATATCATGTCCTCGCACGAATCCCTCGCGACTCGACCTGTGCTAATCATACCGCAATCTAAATTCCCTAGCCCCCTTTCCTCGAAGAGAAAGAGAGTTTGCGATCTATGTACGCCTCACCATGTAGGAGGTGCCGCTGTCCGTCCCCATGTCGATGGGGCGTAGATTCACTACTTTGTTCTCCACCCACGAACAGTTGGGCAGGCAGAGGTCAAGCGCACTGACCCCGACCGTCCAGTCGGGGCTCGGGCCGAGCATGCTAAGCATGGACAGGAGATGGTGGCGGCGGTCCGTGCGGGCCGTGGCGTAGCTCTTGCCGACGAACGTTGGGTACCAGAGACCGCGCGCCTTCACGATCGTTCTGATGTTGTTGGACTGTAGAAGGAAACGGGGGTGGGTGCTGGTGATGGTCAGCACAGTTAAAACGTAGATTTGACATTTTGTGACCTCAGCTCGGCCTGCTCTCATTGCAGTAGCGCGCAGCCACGTGCATACACACAGGCACGCACACATACGCGCACGCGAACGTACACACGCGCGCGTACACACACACACACACACACGCACACACACACACACACACACACACACACACACACACACACACACACACACACACACATATATATATGAGATGAGTACAGTATAATGGAAAGCCAATGCAAGGAGTGGCAAAAACATTGCTATGGCACAGCGACTATCATTATATTCACCAGCAGGCACGTACTTAAAGCATTTATTCTCGGCGCATCGAATAGATTTA